AAAATGATGGGAAAATGCATGAAACTCACAAGGATGAGCTACGGGTCCTATCTCTTTCTTTCTCATGCAATTTTTCATCCCATTGAACTTGGAATTCACATGCCATGTCTCTACTCTCCTAACATCATCTTGGGTCTCTCCGATTTTGCCCTCTAGCATCATTCTTGATGTTGATGTCTTTCTGATCTATCCAACCTCAAAAACTTCACTTTCCATCACATCTTTCACTAAACTTTCTCCAGCCTTCCTGATTTAACTTCCTTTGGATCCCTTTGCTCTTTCCAAGAGGCAAGACGCTCTAAAACATTGATAGACTTGTTATAAGTTATCATGCCTTGAATTACTGTTTGTTTTATCTTGTAAATCTTCAAACTTTGTCATTAAATATTTGTTAGAGATGAACAGACCCATACTTATAAATTATAACTATTTTCATGGGATATATGATCTTCATCACTACTACAAAAACTTTTTATCTATGTTGTTTGTGAGATATTCCCACCATTTATATGTAGTAATGAAATTAACATTTATATCCAATTCTGTTAAAAAAGAAAAAAAAAAGCTTCAAAAATTTAGCTAAACTAGCCCTAATTGCACAACTAATTTGGACATATATAAACGTAAGTATGAGCATTTGAAGGAATATAATAGAGAGGGCTGCTTAATATTATTTCCCACATTCCCATGTTCGGTTGGAAGCAAATTCAAAAGGCAATTGAAATCGACTCGCCAACCACCAAATGGCCTTTGGTACAAAACAAAAGACATCAATCAAAACAATGACTCGGAAGAAGCCTTGATTGAAATGAAACTGGGACCAACTTAATTGCATCATCATCCTGCCCAAAAAAGTCCGTGGCACATGGAGCTGCCTGTGGAAAACTAAAACCTTGGAATCATATGAAAGGATCTAACATGTAGAAATCTCTAATATGTGAAGAAATCTTTTGATAGGAAACAAGACATTAGGTGATTTTGGATATATAGTGTCATCTTATGAGAGGAAGACAAGATATTAGGTGGTTGTAGATGGTTTCAAGAGACATATTAAAGTCTCCTAGTCTACAATACAAAAGTTTTTATACTTTTTTTTTTCATATTTTCTTACATATGAACAACCTTACTTATATGATAAGCGGATAATCAATCAATATTCCTTAAAATCAACCAATTTTACTTGGATTGATTCCTACTTGGTTGACCAACTTATCAACGGTGTGATTTCTTCCTTTAATGAAAGGACCAATCATACCATCATCCAATCCTCTTCTTGTTTATGATGGGATTACTCATGTAGTAATTTGATCCTCTTCATCGCCATTTCCTTTCTTGAAAAACCATGCAGACCAGCGTACACTTGGCATTTTCTCGTTTGTTGGACAGCAGTGGGTTCCACTCTCACCTGGTTAAAGAAAGAGGCCCCCCTCTCTTTTTCCCTTCCGTTGCAGTACCTGGCCATCTTCAGTTACCGGTTTTTTTGGTGGGTTAGTCCTGTCTGTTCAAAACCTTAACAGAAAACAAGTCCCCTCAAACAGACCAGAAAAACATGTTTCTTACATGACAGGGCCTTTCTCAACTTCACTTGATAAATAATTGATAGCCATTGGTGTTTGATTATCAGCCCTGTTTTTGACTGTCTGATTGGTTTGAATTCCTGTCCCAATGTAAAAACAGCACTGATTTTTGTTTCACGGATTCAAAAGCCTTTACGAAAGCTTAACTGATGAATATCAAATCTACCAAATTTGACGATAGAAGCACTTTGGGAATTCGGATATGCTCATCAACTTGATCCTTCAAAGATCGGGAAAAAGGAAATTAAACCAGTCAAAATATATATTAGTTGATATCATGAAGAGTGCTATTCTGAGTAGTCTTGTACTTACAATGTAAAACGAAAACAAATTTCCGTTAAAAAGAAGGTTCGGGTATCAAATATTGATGTCATTAGCAGTAATTTACAAAAAGAATTCCCATTATAGGAAATTTTTGAGTCCTTTGTGAATTAGAACCTTCCAAAAGTCCATCTACCTTCTCCTCGATTCAGTCATTACCAAGTCACCTAGGTATATCATATTCTTGATGAGGGTAGCTAAGCTGCTCCATCTCCCAATTCAATTTGGAAACAACTTCTTCTTGGCATGGGACATACTCCTACAACAATTAAGTACATATGAGATACAAGCTTCGTTTTCATTAGCATTTTGCAGTAAAAGAGATGCAGGTGATGAGCACAATATCCACGCTTTTACCCACAACACAAGAAAAATCCACTTTGAGAGCAGACATGAAGAAATTTCTTTTCTTTTACCTCCAATTTCTTCACTAACTCCTTTGCTGTAGATGCAGACACAATTATCTGGCGTGCACTTGGACTAATAAATCCCTCTTCCACGGCTTTGTCGATAAATGACAGTAGCGAGTTATAGTATCCATCTACATTCAGCAGCCCCACCTGCAATGTACAAAAAACCATGCATTTTTAATTTCGAAAATCTTTTTATTAGTGGAAGTCATGGAGACATGAAAAACATAAAAAGAGACGTACTGGTTTTTCATGTATTCCAAGCTGAGCCCAGGTTATCACTTCAAGTAGTTCTTCCAGAGTCCCATAACCACCTGCATGGCTTGTTTAAATGAGTTTTATCCATCCATCATGCTTTGCAACCAAATCATACCAAGGCAAATAAAGGATTTTAAATTTTCACTCTCTACCATACATAGTGTCCATATGTTTCTTTTTCACTTCATTCCCTATCGATGATGAGATTGATAACTAAGATGATTGAGGGACAAGAATGCGGCAAGTAGTTTAAAACAAAGACATCTATTCAATTTAAATTTAACTCTGAGTTTGGTATGTTGTCTTTGACTAAAGAATAAGGATTAAGACAGTCCAATTAAAGTGTCTGTCCTTTATGGTCATAGTTTAAGAGAAGCACCACGAAGTTTCTACTTTCTAGCTTCTAAATTATCATTTAGCCTTTCTTTTCGCCACATTTTGGAACATGATATTATTGTTTCACATCCTTTGTGAAAATACAGTCAGTCCTTAACGCCCCTCATTCCATCCCCTTTTTCTCTTTTTTTCATTTTACCCACTCCCCTCCTCTTGGTGGGGTAACAAAAGAATTTCATGAAAATAAAAAGACTGTTTTGCCCTCATTTCCTCCTTTTAGTTCAAAGTAAGCTCAAACAAAAAAAGACAAGAAAAGTAGTAGATTTTTCAATGGGGTAAATAAGATTCTCCTGTTAGGTGCAGCTGCTAGTTGGCAAAGCATTTTGGTGAAATTCTTATGGATGTCCTTTATACTTAATATGGTAAGGGGCACTGTAACACCACACAGAAGCAGAGTTCCTCAGAAGCTCTAATTTTCAGTGTTACATGTTGCTGGGTCAAGAACTATGGTTTGAGGGGTTGCTCTCTAATCATGGGTCTTGTGGTGTCTGTGCTGTTAAGAGTCCTAGAGAAGATTCAGAAAGTTTGTAATAATTTAGGCTTCACCACAGTAGCTTTCTCAGCATGGCCAATACCATAAATGGAATAAAATTACAAAAGCCACAATTGTAAAAATTTCATCAATAGCTTCATTCCCCAGCCCAATGAAAATGGTACCTCAGTATATCTTATTAAATTATTACCATCCTTTCAATATAACATGAAGATATTAGCTTTAGCAAAATCTAGAAAAGGTGGGGGCAGACAGGGAAAGCAAAAACTTTAATATTTTTGGAATAAGGGGGAGGGAAAAAGTTGCTTGTTCTTTAACCCCTGCAACATTTTCCCCGTGGTATTAGAAATCAAAGAAAACAGAAGAACTGAGCAATACTCATGAGAATCAGAATATGAGACATGGTCAATCTTTAATACTAAAATTGGTATTATAAAAGCATATGGGGTCCGGTTTTCTTGATTTGCCTTAGAATTTTTGGTGTAAACTCTTTCTTCAGGGGGACTTTATACTAACCTGGTAAGGCAATAAAGGCATCTGAATGCTTAGACATCTCAGCCTTCCTTTGATGCATATCTGCAACAGCCTTCACTTCCCCTACTGTTTCACCAGTTAACTGCAAAATGCACAGAGAAAATAAGAACACTGGAATCCCATTATCCCAGGAGAGAGAACAGAGATTTGGAGTGTTGCATGCAGTAAAGCAATGATGAAATTGCAGGGATGGTGGACTTAGTGATCCTAAAAAAAAAAAAAAAAAAAAAGAAAAAACTCAGTAATGCCCTAGTCAGTAGACTTTTTACTTTTTAGCTGCAAAAAAGCAGAAAGCTAAAGGGAAGAAAAATTCGGATTTTAGAAAAGTCCAAGCAAGAAAAACTGGAAAAAAATAACTACTGGTCTATATGAGCCAAAAATATACCATAATATAATATGAAAAAGGTAAACTGATCACCACCCAAGCACAACCATGGATAAGGTTGCCAGGCATTCATCAGAGAACCAGAAAATTGAAGATGAAAATTGAAAACAATCACTAATTAAGGTGTTAAGAAAAAGGCTGAAAACATAAAATCTAACCCAATCCATTGCGAAAAGATAGAAAAAAGTGAAACCTGTTTGCAAATTTTTTTGTTTCCTTTTTAATTAAATATGTAAAGGTTCAAGACTTTTTCCGGTTGTAGCATGGTAGCAGACATACCTCTCGAGGCATGAGCGTCTTGGGAATAACTCTGCAGAGAGACAATAACATGACAAAAATTAGTTCTAATGGAGTTCCAAACCCCAAGAATAGTTTTCAAAAGGGGGGAGAAAACAATCAATAACCATGAAGCAAACTCACTAATTATGTTTCCTAAATTTTGTTGGGATGTCTGTAGAAAAGAGAGGGAGGCTTACCCAATGACATGTCGACCGCCATCATGAACGGCTTGTGAGACCAACCCCATCAAACCTATGCTGCCTCCTCCATAGACCAGATCAATGTTCCTTGAGACCTGCCAAAGAGCTTAAACAAGTCAGCTCAAAAGGGACTGGAAGTCTGGTTTGACTGTTTAAGACTGTTCATGAAGAAAACTAGGAACATTTTAAGGTGGGTATGGGTTCTAAACAGTGCCATTTGATAAAAACAATGTTATTTAAGAGTACATTCACAAGACTACAGAAGGAACAACAGGGTTGAAAAGGATGCATCCCTGCTCAATCAATGCAGTACTACTCAGTTTGTACATATAATTCCTAACCTGTAAATGCATTTCAACATTTGAAAATTGGCATATCTGGAAAATGAAATCCCTTTTGAATTGCTGATAAAGACATTGCAAGAAAGAGAAAGAGAATTTCATAGACTGTGCTAGAGATAACAATCTACAGGAAGAAAGTCTACTTTTTGGGGGAATGAATACAAGTTTTGAAATTGTTGAAACCCAGAAACCAATTCACAAACAGGTGTAAACATAATAAGAATACCAAAAGATACAAACACACGCAGACTAAAAGCAAGCAACTTTCACTGGATTCTTGCAGAAATCATTTTCCTATCCATATTGATTAGACAGAATAAACAAGTTTCCATCAAAATCAATGAGAAAAATAAGACATTTTTCCAAAACCCCAGGTCAAGAGGGGCCTAAAAAAACCCATTAAAAGTGAATTTGTTACAATACCAATTCCTTGCCAAGCTCAATAGCAGCATCTTGATAGCTACTTTTCTTGCCCTGGCTACTCCCACAAAACACACAAATCCTCCTAAACTTAGACTGCTTTGGTTCACTCATCTCCATTCCACCCAACTCAAATTTCTCAATGTTTTCTCACACCCCCTTCTTTGAATAGATACCCTCTGAGCTTTACAACTCAAATGCAAGAATATCCCCCAGATGCTCCGTCTCTATGCACCCTAACCTACAGAAGTGTACTGTAGCAAAATGCAAGCATAACCCTTTTCTTGCTTGACCACCACTACAACTCCATTGAGTGCCTCCTGTCCATGCGTGTATATATATATAAAACTTCGTCGCACGTGAATTGCTTCACAGCAGCTTGTGCCCCAACTCACACATACACAGAACATTGGCACGCGTGGACCACTTAGTATATTTTTCTCTCTCTCGGTTTCGCTTAGGAAAATAAGACACAGGAATTGTGTCCAAGTCCGCCCTTTTTTTTTTTTCCTAGTCTGGCCAAGAATGCTCTGCCCACGTTAGGGTTTTTCTTAGGCCATGGTCTTGGTGTAACATCAAGTTTGAGGAGGACAAGGATTAAACATTTAATTCTATTTATATATTCTTTTTCTTTTTAGTAATTATTTTATTTATATTCTTAGTGAAATGAGAGAATTCCATATGTTAAAGTGGTATTATTGCTCATTGGTTAAGTTGTTGCACTGGGTTAACCCCATGGAATTTGTTTCTTTTTATGGAAACATAGTTAGAACTTTTTAATTTTAAAAATTGAATTTACTTGTAAATAAATATAATATTGTAAGTTAGATTCAAAATTTAAAATTTAAAATTAAGATTTAAAAAAAATAATTTTTTTAAATACATAATCTGCTATAAAGATGTGTTTTGAAATTAACTTAAAATCACCTAAATAATAAATTTAAAAAAAATCTTGATCTTCCCTTAATTAATCAAGTCACTATCTTTACAAAAAAATAAAAAATAAAAAAAATTCAATTTTTACACCCAAAATGAAAAGGCAACGCTTGGACATCCTGAGATGTATATTTCTTTAATTTAACCCTGGAAAAGATCAGAACTTTTTGGTCTTTGCTTAATTACTTAATGAAATTACTACTGCAACTCTGTAAAGGCAAAAAGTTTATGTTTTACATCCACAGAGAAAAAAGGCAACATATGGACATTCTGAGATGGTAGAATTCTTTAGTTACCCATCACCCACATACTGGAAAAGATCAAAACTTTTTATCTTTCCATTGACAATCTTCAACTCTATAAAGACAAAAAGTTTCAATTTTTACGTTTAACAAAGGGGGCAACACATGAACATTCTGAGAGGGTAGATTTCTTTAATCCTAGTGATATGGGCAACATTTTCGACCTGTTACAATACACAATTTTCTGAGCAAGTTATGGGTAAAATTCAGAAACTCAGATGGTGGTGCTATAGAGCATTGTGCATTGATGATCAAATAAAAACATAAGTGGGTTATTCCCTATCTCCTTGTACCCTCATCTACCCTCCTTCACTAGACACGTCTGTTGTATACATAGGAAACATTTGATTTTTATTTCATGCGCCCCTTCCCTTCCCCATATCCCCTGCCCCTCACCTTCTCCAAGCATGCTGTCCCCAACCCCATCTTCCTACTGCACTAATTGCATTTTTCCCTCCTTTTCCACCTATCACATCTCCCCTCCTCCCTAAACCCACATTTTAAAATAACCCCATTCGCTAATGTCCTATATTATAAGTTTTTATGGGCTTCAGTTTTTGAGATATTTTATTCTTGCTTCAATTGCCAGGATTGCAGGAACTGAACCTTAGCTCTTAAACTAATGTAGTATATAATATATTCAACATACACAATCCCAAGGACTCTCTTTCTAGCTGTTCTTCCTCGTTAGAGTATTTTTATTTTTGTCTACTTCTGCCCACTTTCCATGTTTAGAGATTACAAACTCATAATTACCCCTGCTTAATAGGGGACGAGCACCTTACATTTTTAATCATATGTAACCTTCTGCATGCTTGCATGCGCATTTAACCCATGTTTTTGTGTGTTTGTGAGTGCGCATATATTTTTTTGGTAGGCAAGTGTCTTGTACCAGTACTAGTACTAGTATTTCTTAATAAAAACTAGCTTTAATTTTCTTTGAAATTTTCTATCAATCCAAACAGGGGAGAGTAGGCATGACCAAAACACACCGTATGTGCCATTACACAACTACTTGGCTGGTTCTGAGGTTGTTGCAAGATGACCCTTTTCTGTTCTGGTCCGAAGCAAGCAGATGATGGAATTTAAAAACATGTCAGAGGCTCTAAAATAGTGGAGATAATGGTGGGATTGACATTTTTGTTACAGAGACATAGCAAAACTAAGGATAATGGCAAGGAAGAGGAGGAAGCAGATACCCTATTTCTGCAGGGAGCTGTTTCAGCCAAGACCTGAAAATGGAGATCTACCACTGTCATCCGGTCCTCCTAACCACCAGACTTGTTACTGTATTACATCCATTTCCCAATGTGTTATTTTTGAACTTATTATCTTTGTTACAGAGTCCCATCGCTGGCATGATAAAATGTCTTGTAAATCCATGAAAAAAAAAAAAAATTATATTAGGCTGTTGAACATCTGCCTGTCAAAATCTGTCTCTTGGGATCCATCTTTATTTTTTATCATTTAAGTTATCTTGGATCCAATCCAATCCATAGATAAGGCGAAAGAAGACTCTAGAAAACTAGAGAGTTAGATTCAGTGTTGTATAAATGGATAATGTATGTTCAGTACAAACTTTGACTGAAAGGCTTAATCATAAATTCATAAAAAAAAAAAAAAATCATAAAAATTTTAGAATTTCTTAACTTTAATGGCAAGAGCACCATTTAAAAGCTATGAAGCAGCTTTGTTTGAGAACTTAATGACAGGTACAAGTTTTTTGGGTTTTTAATATTTATTTAATATTTTATATATTTTTAAGATAAAAAAAAAAAAAATTTAGAGATTAAAGCATCAAGAAACATTCTCAAGCCATAAATACTTTTCAGAAAACTTACACTTGATTTAACTTCGTTATTTGCAATAGAAAAGATCTTTGCAGAGGCCGCGTAACTAAACTAAACGAGCACTTAGGCCAGGTGTAGTTTTATGAAAATTGCATCACAGGTTTAAAACCATTCTTTAGACTTCATCTAACACGTTTAGAACATGTCCACATAACAGTTCTCCAGGGTTATTTTTATTATTTATTATTTTTTTATTTTTTGTATTTACTATTATTATGTTCTTAGGTCAACTTTCACCATTTTAAAATTAATCTCTTCTTAAATAATTTTAAGTGTGCACTTTTTATATTAGTTTGATACATTTAAGAAAATTAATTATTTTGACCTCAAAAACCTTATCCCTAAACCTAATTTATAAATGAGACTTGCTTAACAGTGAATTTAATTCTTGGGTTAATTCTCCAGGCTATATACCATGAAGGGGACCTATATTGGTTTGGTTTGTAAGGCAACTTTCAATATTTTCCAAAACAGCAACATGTCACGCAGCCACATTAATCAGATGCATGCACTCAAACGGCTGGCTGTGGTCAAAAGGCCTGCCTAATCTCCATTCATCCTGCTGTCCCTGTCTGGCATCGCTTTGTCCCGTACATAGTTTTCTTCACCACCCTGACCTGACTCATTGCATCGACTAAGTGGATTTGCAGCAGCTGCTTTCCTGATTTTAATTTTGTGGAAAACATTTAGAGGGAAAAGTTGCACCCAATTTTGTCTGATGAACACAACAACGTCCCTTCGTCCCTCTAAGAAAATTAAGCATATATAGCACAAATTTCTCAATTCAACTTATCATATAACTTTGTATCTTCACATTGTAATACATGCACAGTAATAATTTTTATTGACTTTTTTTACTTAGTAAGACACATGAATTGAGATATATATACTTATATACACACGTTTAATATCATATGATTGTTGTTAAGATTTACTGTCAAAAAGGGTTATCAATGAATAGGTTTCGTGTATAAGAAGGTTCAATTACTTTGATAGTCCTTGAAAAATGGCAGAAGAGAGGGAGTTCATTGGAGATGACCCTGCTGATAAGAAACAAAGGATGATGTTCAAACATCAGACCATTGTTTTCTGCCAACATTAAATTAAACCTTCATTAATTCTTGGAAAACTTCATGGGAAATGCACTGTTTTACTCCGAGACAAAAGCTCTTCATCTATAAAAGTCTCTCATGAAGTTTTAGCATCTATCTCTTCATATCTGTTCCAGGATTTGTTGATTAATATCTTCTCCGCTGAAGATTTGGGATGGATACAAAGGGTGGTCAAGGCTCACGTTTTGTCCCCGTAGCTCTTCCACCTATATAGACTTTGCAGCATGGGGATATTATTCAACAACAAAATTATTTACATTTAGGTGAAAAAAATTATTATTGTTATTAATGTTATGATTATGCAGAACTTAGCATGTCTTTATATTAAAAATATTAAGATATTTAATAATTAAAATCACAAAATAAATGAGATATATTAAATTTTATCATTGAAATTAAATGTTTTGATATTTTTAATATTTACACGGCATAACATTTCTTTATTTTCATTTTTTTGTAATCTTATACATATTATATTGCAGTCAAAGTTAGTTTTGTCGAAGAGTGTTTGGAATCTTGTGCCAAGAAGGAGATGCTCTCTGTAGTTGTTTGTATTGCACTTTCTATTCCATTTATGTGGATACACACATAAAACATGTCATATCATGTAGGAAAGATTGATCCCTCTCTGCCTCTTCAATTGCTCGGGGTTTTACACATAGGCACATCCAGACAGGTGTTTTTCTCATGGCATACGCGTCATGTCATCCTTTATCTTGTCTCAGTTTCTATGTATCCACTTCCCACACTTGTGCACAAGAAGGACAGTAGTAGTCAATGGAATCCACGTTATAAATAATATAACCTTTGTGTCTGTTTAGCTCAATTTCAAACAAAAATTTCTATTAATTGTGCAAAGCTTAAACTAAGTCGAACATAATTTTTTGAAAAACTTCTCGACTCGTCTTCAATTTGTCGGTTAGGTCCAAACCTAATGTTAATAACTATGGTTGTTGCATGAGAGTAATTAAGTTAATTACTTGTTAAGTGGTAAGATGGCATGATTAATATATAGAACCAACGATTTGTTAGTTTGAGTGAAAGAATTCGATTCCTTTTAAATAAGATTTTGAGTTTGAGTTTTATGAATGAAAAAACAAATGTTAAGAGAGTTTTTTTCTTTACAGAATCCGATGTAATTCGATTTCAAATTAATAAAATTTAATATGATTACAAAATACTGAGAGGTTAATACAAAAATATCTTTATATATATAATAATTTTAGAATAGAGATAGATAAAGATCAAATGATACATAGGCATGCATGCATCATGATCCCTAAAACTTTGCAGTCACTCCTCACATGGGAGGAGTCATTCAGCATTGTCCCATAGTTTAAGGAAAGGCGCGAAACCCTTCTGAGGATTTTGAGTATGTTTAGCTTCTAAGCTATATATGGAGTGTACAATTTTTTTTTTTTTTCTAAATTTTCCTAGTGTACAAAGGAAACAGAATCTCATCATCAAATTCTTCCAAATTTCCAAATTGACGGCCATTGTCGTATGGTGGTTCAATCCAACATTTTTGCATGTTTTTATTTTCTTATTCTTTCAATTGTTTAGGGAATCAACTCGCTAGTTTAGAGTGCACGTGTGAGAAAATACATGTACATACAAAAAAATGTCACATTGAACCCAAAAAATTTATGAACCTCTCTGTATACATATTGAATAATGATATAGGGAACGAATTTTGCGGGATGAAATTGGAGGACTATTTACGTGGACAAATTGTCCCTCCCAAAAAATAAGGTTACATATGTATGTTTATGTGGCAAGTGTGTTGGATGTTTGAATACGATTTGTCCACGTAAGTGGTCCTCCAATTTCATTCCACAAGATTCGTTTCCTATATCATTATTCATACATATTATACTCTTTTAACTGATTTTCTTTTTGATGTAGGATCTCTGTACATCATTCAACTCCACTCACAGATTAACTTTATATTTCATCATCAATTTCGTGCATATGTTTGCTGCAAAATCATTATAATTCGAAGATAAGAAGATGTATGTAGAAGTGGGAGATTCCCAAACTTTGTCGTTCATTCTCATTTGGACAATATTATATTTTCAATAAAAACATCATCATAAATTGAAGAGGAAAAAAAAAAAAACCTCATTTTGGTCAGAATCAATGCATTAATTTTCTTAATGGATTCCTATAAGCTACTTAATTAACACTTTCTTCAACTTTTCAAGTATAAAACTTCTTATCAAATAAGGAAATGTTAACAATTTCAACAAGATTTTATTATTATACAAAAATTACGATTTTTCATAGAGTACTTTTTACAATTTATCACGTTTTCAACACTTTCTCAATAAAAATTTCTTGTGAATGTTTGCCTCACACCAGGCATGCCCTAATTAGTGGGTTTTTTTTTTTTTTTTAATTTCTTTTTATTTTTCCTCTTTCGCAGCACATTACTGAGTGCCTTATCCGATGCCAATTGCTCTCCCACACCTTGTATTGAGGAAACCTTAAAATAGTATAGTGCTGCATTTTGATGTGGGACCTCTTAGTGTTTCGGTTCCTCACCACAGAACTTCTCCGAATACAATTGTTCAGATATCCATCATCATCATTGTCGGGTCAAATTGTCGTAGTTACTGCTTGTTTTGACCTAATCTTTGAAGCAATTTTATTTGTTATAAAAGTTGAAATTCAGTTTTAGCTTTCTGTAAAATACTGATATTCCACGCTTAAAAATTTATCGAAAATAAATTTGCATAAAATTTATCAACTTTGAGACTTATAACCCAAAAATGCACGACCATCAAGTCTCCATGACTGTAATAGAGAAAACACAGTCACAGGTGTTGAACTTCCTCCTGCAAGAACCCTTAAATGTTTGAGAAATTTTATAATTTTAGCTTATGAATTTCATAGCTTGACATAAAATTAGTTATTTCTCCCACAAAAAATTACCTTGTTTGAGTAAAAAGTTTCTCATTTTTATCTCTCATTTAGTCTTTTTTTTTTTTTTTTCTTCTTAGAATCCCAGAAGCATGTTCTGTGGCAGACTGGCAGCAACATTCAAAGTGGGCCTCCTTCTCTGCAGTGTCTAGATAAGGGAGTGGATTCATACCTAACCAACCGTCATGCTAAGTAATACAATTAAGAAATTAAAAAATAAAAATAAAAATTGTGAGATCAGAGAAATATGGAGGTGTCTGAGTGGGTTTTGGGGTCCCCTGTTTTCCGTGATCAATCCTGTCCTGCTTTTGGATGGTATTGTATAATCCAGGCTCATCACCTTGTCTATCAAAATAACCTTAGCTCGAAACACAAGAGTAAGAAATAAATAAGCACTCTGGTTCAACCCTCCATTTATTAATTTTTCTTTTTGTTTACTTCAAAGAAATTCATCCCAGTGGGATCTATCGGGGTAATTTGATTTCTTCCCAAGCAAGAATTCATGTTTTGGGTTTTTTTTTTGAAAATGGTGACCCCTTGAGGATATTACATTTCACGTGGGGTGAACTAAATCATTCATATAAAAAATTAACAGAATATTCATTTTTTTCAATCTGAACTAGTAGTGAGTAAAAACACACATCCGGATTGTGAACAATTACAATGTCGGTTTACCACCTTTTAAAACTAAACGTATTAAAGACATTGTAGTTGTTTTTAGTTTGAATTAAAAAAAAAAAAAGAAAAAAAAAAAAACGAAGACTGAGAAGCAATATTATAAAAAATAATCATCTCAAGATTCAAAAAATGTACCCACAAATCTATATTAGCATTTGTTTGAATGCTACTCCAGTACCATACTTTCCACATTAGAAAGAAAGCCAAAATTAAGAAAACCATGCAATACTATAGCTGCAATTTATAATTGTAATTAAGTTAAGAAGAATAAAAAGTCTTGGGGCAAATGATTCAATTGCAGTGTTCTTTTTCATAGGATTCTTTTTGTTCACTTTTATTTTTGTTATAATTGATTTGAAGTAAGATTGCCATTAAATTATGAAGATTGGAGAAGCTAAAGCAAACACACTAAAGACAAAAAGGATATATAATATATGTATTTTTTGAACTGAAGCTAAAATAGGATATATAATATTTAAACCGCAGATTCCACTTGAAGTTAATAGAATAATGCCGTCACTTCCCTTAGACTTCAAGTCACCGGTAATAAAGCTATTTGGAATTCAAAAGCTCTAAATCATTGAACTCAAAAGTCAAAAGTATCTTCAGAGCAATTGACCTCATCTAAGGGATAGACAGATGAACAGAAGAGTTTTGTATTAACATTGTGATAAAGGAGAGATACCTGTCAAGTAATTAGTGGAATTATTAATAAAAAAATATATTTTTTCATATAATTAAGATTTAAATTTTTATTTTTTCTTTTCATCTCTTATTTTTATAGGAATTTTAAGCAGTTCACCTGCCCATTAAAAAAAAATTTATCACAAATAATTGGTAAAAAATTATGGGTTTATGGGCAATGAGATCAAGCCAGAACTGAAATATCAGGCCGGGTTGGATCCTTTCTTGAGGCTGGGAAGTTGAAGTAAACCAGAAACAAACAAGCCCACCTCTTCTGGAGGCTTTGAGAAACAGAAACATCATCATCATCATTATTATTATTATTATTATTTGGGTAAATCCCCTAAACAGAAACTGAATTTTCAATTCAGATTGCAGAAAAATGAATCAATTGGATGGTGAAATTATCAGTGATTTTAGCAATTTTGCATTTTATAGACTGCGTGTTTTATAATCATTAATAAAGGAAACCCACATCATAATAGAGTTACTGTAATATCTTAAATAATTAATACTGCACTCTTTTAATATAATTATCAATTATACCTTTACATTACACTTTTTTTTCTAAAATTTTTCACTTTTGTTTCTTCATAAATTAAATGATATAATAATCATTTAAGATAAAAAAATGATGTTAGTAAATAAAAAAAATTATATTAATAATTAAGAGTGTGACAATAAACGTCTATTTGCTTTTCTCTTATCGAAATACCATTAATGAATCAACAATTAGAACATTCATTCATTAAGGGTACCAGGGAAATTTCATAATCCAACATATTAGTAAAGGATGCAGCTGAGTGTTTTTTTTTTTTTTTTGGACAGCTGAAGTTGAGTTACCTTGGCAATGCAACTTAGAATTGCTCTCTCAAATCCATACATATATTAAAGTTGGAACGTTGGATGATATTTCCAGGTGTTGCTTTACCTGCAATTCATCCAAGAACCATAAAAAAAATTTGCACCATACCATGTGAGGAAGCCAAACAATCGGTAATTTAAATCAACGTCAACAGATGAAGAGAAACACTATCCATGGTTTTTCAAAACATAATGCATAAAAAGCACAGAATATCTCAAAAGATTTCATCAGCTCTTTCTAATCTCAGGCAAACATCAAACTGAGCAGATAACTGCTTCCCAAATGCAGCTGGAGTGAAACTAAAGATTGCAGAATTCAAGAGAAAGAAAAGGCCGCAGCTGCATATTCCAGATATTCCTGTTGAAAAGAATAGCACACTTTAACAAAATAGCCCGGTAAAAGCTGATATCAATACATTACTTATACTTATCAGTGTAAGTGATGATAGAAGATAAATAGGTAGATTTTTTAACTGAAAGCAATAGCTTATTATTAATGCAACAAATATCCAGCAAACAGCAACTGCACATGCAAGATTAGAAAAAGGCAAAAAGATAAATGTTGATGAGATGTGAAATTGGGAGTGTGGGAAACAAAAAGGAGGAAGGAGAAATATTAAAAGAAGCATCTACATCAACTTTAGGCAGTACAGCCTTCAAATATTCATATAACAAAAAACCAACCAAATTTATAAATGTTAAGTATACCTTAAGAATTATCCCTGGTAAAAGAAGCAAGAAGGTTGACACTCAAAATCTACGCCTTGGCCTAGTTTCTGCAACAGAAACTCGAATTGCCCTGCCACCCAAATCCTGCATCAAACAAATTTTAATAGTAAATATACGGTTGACATACTTTCAAAGCAGTAAGATCTAAATCTTCAAATTTAATAGATAGTACCAAATTCTAAAATATTTGAGATGCACACATCAATAAGGCAATGATCAACTTACAACACCATTTAAGGATTCAATAGCACTGCTGACCTCTTCAGCAGAACTGTAAGTTACAAAGCCAAAACCCCTTGATCTACCACTATCCCTATCATAAACCACTCTCGCTTCCACAACCTTGCCCCGCTCACTAAACAAGGTCTCAAGTGCCAAGTCATCAACACCCCATGCAAGGTTACCCACATGAAGCTTATTTGAGGCATCAAAAGTTGCACCACCTCTGATCCCTCTGAAAGAGGAATCTTCCCTTCTTCGAGGGGGAGGTCCAGAATTCACCCTCAATGGTCTGCCTTCCAACTCCTGCAAATTGTGGTAATCTCTTCTTTAGTTACAATTAACAATTGGGAACAACCTATAAACTTATATCAAACTCAACTTTTAATTGGGATTATAGCCATCAGAAGGTATGACAGAATAAACAAAAAAAGAGAAACACGAAAGTGTGGAGGTGTCTCATTAGTTCTAGTGCGGAGTAAACATATTCACACAGTTACTCTTCAAAAAAAAAAAAAAAACATGTCATTGGGCTTTAACATGATACAATATAGATAACATAAGAAAAAAAATGAGAAAAGAAGTATGCTTTCTGGTCTCTAACCTATGCCCGGCCACAAGTTAAGCTTTATTAATTACAAAATCTGTAATTAATTTTGCACAAAATTTCATATTAGACTCGTAGCTTTTTACAGATTTTGAGTACAAATATTATATTTTATTTCAATTTTACATTTTATGACATTTTATTTTAATTAAATCAGATATAAAATTTTGTGCAGAATTAATTGAAGATACTGCATTTCACAGGTTAGAAAATTCCATTCTCAAATTAGTTTATTTTGTTTTGATATACATGTAAACAGAAACAGAACAAACCCCACAAAAGAATGCGCAAATTATGACATAATCATAGCTTGAAATCGAAATAAACTGACTTACAAAGCCATTTAACTGTTGCGCAGCAGCTTCAACTTCCTCTGCAGTTGACATTGTCACAAAACCAAACCCTCTGCTTCTCCCCGTTCCCTTATCATAAATAACCTGCCGAAAAGCGATATATAAATAATCTCATGAAACCCAATGCTTGTCACCAAACAAGTGCTTGATAAAATTGATTTAACAGAGCAAAATCACAAACAAAATCTCTTTTATTGAACGGGAGAAAAGCAAAAGTACCTCAACCATCTCAACATTTCCAACATTCTCGAACAATCCAGCAAGCTGAGCGCTATCCACGCTAAATGGAAGGTTACCCACAAAGAGTTTCAGGTCTTGCGAGAAACTGGGAGGCTCGCCTCCGTCACTGCCAGATATCTCATCATCTTGCTCGTACTCGGAAGAAAAAGCGACTCTGGGTACAAACCGAGAAGAACTGGGTAAGGTCTCGAAATGCCTAGCAGAAGAGGCGAAGAGAGGAGAAATGGAAATGGGTCCGGCACGGAGGTTCTTGGGGAGGGAAAAGGACGAGACAAAAGAAGCTCTGGGGTTGGACTGGGATAGGGTTTTCAGGTTCAGAGGGAGCACTAGCGATGAAGCAGAGGCAACAGCCATGGCTTTATTGTTTACAGAGAAGAAAATAACGAAAGATGAAGGACGAAAGCCGATGCAGAGATATTTATGGAGAGAGAGAAGGGCGGACTGAGGTACCAATTTACGACACTGTAGTTGGTTGTCCCAGTCCACTGGACTTATTGGACCACAAATTATGGGATCAGGACAGTTGGATTTCGGAGGGCTTTTCAGATTTATAAACTGTTCAAATGGGCTAGCTACAAAATGGGCTCTGTCCCATCTCACATTCCTTAGTGTCCTGTGCACTACTAGAACTTTTGATAGGAATTTTGTTTGAAAGAATTTGTTGTAAAGTTGTTTTTTTTAAGAAGTTAAAAGGATTTAATAAAATTTTTTACTTAAGAATTTTTAGAGTGTAAAACTGTTTAGTAATTTTTTTTTTTATAAAAGATCTTCTAATATTGAAATAATTGAAATGGACATTTTTTTTAAAGAAGCATTGTTTCTCTCTTCTTCTTCTTCTTCTTCTTTTTTTTATTCATTTTTTTAGGGTTTCAATTCTTTTTCAATTTAATTATGTTAGATTTGATGATTACAAATGGATTTTTTATATTTATAAAACATAAATGCTAGTAATTAATAATTTTAATATTAATAGATAGATAAATATTTATATTTTAATATTAAAAAATAAAACATACTACATTTAAGTGTTATAAATACCGGAATAAAATTAAAAATTGATTATAACAATCATCTTCACTAATTTTCCATTAAAAATTAAGAAGTCTTAATTTCATCTATTTTCATAACAAGACTAAACACTTAAATAATAATCCTAGACATTTATCTTGAGAAGTATATTTTAACTTCTTTTCTATAGAGAAAAATAACACCTATTGAGGTGCATGTATTCACATACTATACTAGTAAAGGACTTTTAGAACAGTTTTCCATTATGGTGATGGTGTAGGGTCAATTCATCAATAAAATTCA